GAAAGCAATATTCTCTTAATGATGATATGAGTCCAAGAATTTCAGATTTCAAATTGCCAATGTTCATGCAGATTGTATAGTATAACCACGGTATATTGTAAGGTGTGTTCATCAAGAAAGAGAGGAGTAGGTACTATAGAGGTTCGTCAGTATTCGTCCGATAATTATTGATTTGTTATTGAACCAATCAGTATCTTATTAATTGACTAGCATTTAAAAATCGATAATCGATGGGTCAAACGGTAAATCGGAATTATCTGTCCCATAAGCAACCCTAATTCTACTGTTTTTGTTTTTATAAATATTGTATTTTTACTTTCTGGAACCAAAAATCTATCAAAATATTTTCCATAAAATCTGCATATTTTTCTTTCTCATGATAACCAACAAAACTATACTCAATATATTATTATTACCATTGTTGTTATTGATACTTTATAAAATTAAATGACCAAGGTTTAAAATTTGTTGAGTTATTTTCAAGAAGAAACATTTTATCTTATTACAGTAATCTTTTTCCCAAAAATAAGCTTAGATATTAGGATAAATAACTTTGAATGTTGAATAGGTAAAACAATAACGAAAAGTTAGTGGTCGTTTGACCATTGAGTTCCAGAAATCATGTTTAGTTATAATATTTTATAAAATTTTAAAATTTAACTTAATTTCGAATTGTTGGTGTAATATACCAAAAAACAATAAATCACAATTGAAAAATAAAATGACAAAAATGAATAAACAAATCTTTTGGTTCAAGCGCATATATATCACTCTCTTTAAAGAGATTCAAGTCCACTGCGACATAATTTACACTGAGCCACCAGTATGTCACTCAAGCAAATCCGAATTAGTTGAAGAGTCCAAAACTTCACATAAGAACACCTTCCTTCAACATATAATTACTCTTGTGTATATATTTATAACTCTATTCAAATTATTTATAAAAATTTAAAAATAATTTTAATTTATATTCATACTTCTAAATATTATTGCGCCGAGTATATCAATTAATTGAATACCAAGCACACTAACATAAAGAACTTTTTTTCTAAAAAAGAAAAACGAACTCTAATAACAATATGATTGTACTTCCTATAATAATATACTAATATATCCGGCTAAATATTTATATTATTTTCTCTGCTTAATTAGTAAACCTTATGTTTAGAGACCTAGACAAACCCGTTCCTCATGATTTGAGATCACTAACAGAAAAATCTATTATATTTAATATTTATATAAAAAAAAATCTCTATAAAACAGATCTACTAAAACAAAAAGAATCATTAGATATTTCCGTAAATAAATTATGCAAACTGATCTTTTTAATCTAACTAGTTAATAGTTAATATTGAAGTATGTATGTGAGAAAAATCGGAGGAGGAAAATACAAATGTAAATTGATGAATGATTTCTACAGTTTGTTCACCAACTCTTCCTTGTGTGGTACCTCAAATTTCGTTGAACTTCAAACTTATTCAATTGTTGCAAGTCACACTTGAGATTTTTTACAAAGAAATAGTAAACTTATAAAATTCTTAGTTTAAAAATAAGAGGAAACCTTATATTTATAGCAAACAAATGGTAGTATTTACATGTGTTGATTGTGCCTTATTAGAAAAGTCACAACCCTTCGAAAAAGACACAGCTCATCGAAAATGTCACAACTCTTTGGAAAAGTCACAACCTTTCAAAAAAGTCACAATTCATCGAAAAAGTCACAACCCTTTGGAAAAATCACAACTTTTCGAAAAAGTCACAACTCATCTGAGAGGTCACAACACTTCGAAAATGTCATGACCCATCGAAAAATCACAACCCTTTAATGTGAAAAAAATAGTGACTACTTTTAACACATTATACTTTATTAAATAAATAAATAAATTAAATTGAGTGTTTTTAGTTAGGGTATTATAGTAATTCAATATTGAAGTTTAGGAATTCTTCTAACCAGGATTTTACACGACATCCCATTTTTTTTCTTAATAGAATTTTCTTATTTATAAAAAAAATTTCAATTCATTCAACTATATACTTGACTAAGTAGGCGTTTGGCCATGCGATACCATATGGTATCGTGAGATGGAATCAGCGTTTGGACATGCGATTTTACGCTAATTTCATATCATGAGAGGTGATACCATATTCTTCAAAAACCATGATATGGAATTATATGGTAATTCCATATCATGATTTGAGATATTTTAATACAATAATTGATCCATGAGTTTATAATTTGTTAAAACAACCCCACATTTATATCTACTAACCATTTGTTTCATAGGTAAAAAAAAATTATAATCACATCATTACTTTTTAAAATTTATTATTCTCACC